AGCTGTGTTTTCTACGTTTAGACTTCAGCACAGCACAGCAGGTTTTCTCTTCTGCTCAGAGACATCAAATGGAGAGTTCTAAACATTGGGTAGCAATTAGTCATATTCACGTGTTTGTGCGAGTCCAGCCCAAGGTAAGGAGTTGCTGTTGTCTGCAGGATGATTTCCTGGGTTTTCAGTTAAATGACCCTTATGCGTTCATCTTTAGTCATCTTTACTCAAGGCTGTAGCAACCACCGGGTGACAAAGTGGGACAGTTGGCTTCCCTTTCAATGAGACATGATGCAGAACCTACCCTTTCTCCACAGTTAACTCCTGGCTTGCCGTGGCTAAGAGCTAATTAGTACGCCTGGTGAGCAAAAGTGCAAAAAAGCACAATTTTCTTTGCTGATGTCTTTTGGTTTTTTGTCTGTTTTACGTTCAGAAAAAGCCCCGAGGAAGAAGATTAGTCAGAGCCACAATAAACAGCAATCTTGCATAAATAAAACAATCTTTAAAAAATTCCAGTAAAACCCAGCTGGGCAGTATACTAAAATATCAAAACTGCTGTTTGATTGACAGTACAGCGCTCTAAGTCATCAAAGATGTCCTTTAACATTAATAAAAATCCAAAACAGCACAGCACCTTACCTTAACACTGAGAAAACTCTAGCCATTTTTCCTATTGCTCTTATCTTGTTCCTTATAACCTCCTTTCGAGCAGCAGCTGTTGCTCCTATGGAAAATACATTAAAAAGAGTTACAGGGATTTGTAAACGATGCATCACTATTCTGACCGCTAAATACAAGTAGCACCATATTAATGCCACAGTTTACCAAACTAAGCCACATTTGTAGTCAAAACTGAAAATAGTTTGGGGTTTTTTTTTGTTATTTAATAGCTCAAGACTGATTGCTTTTGAACAATCTAGTTGTAAGTACCCCTTTAGAGATCCTTTTCTTGCTACACATTAAAGCTGCATGTTTTTCCATCAATGCATGCTGATTTTCCATTTCAAAAACATTTTCAGAGACCACACTCTTTAAAAAACAAGTTTCTTAGAAAACGGTCAAAATGCCAAAAAGTTACTCAATTTGAACAGTGACAAAACCACAAAAAGAAGAGTTATGGAGTTAAAAACTATTTAATAATCTTATCATTTTACGTGAAAAACAATCATGTTTCACTTAATTTTCTAGAAAAAAAGTGAGTAGGTTTAGCTTAAGGCCAAAGACGGCCCAGTTGGGGTTTCCCCATCCCTAGTTAAAAAGTATTTAAATGGTTATAAAACCTAAAGGCAGAGTCCTGAAAACCAGCATGGAATGGTAGGGGGATTGTGTTGGCTGGCAGTGCTTAAGAGGGTTCCATAAATGCAACTTTATTCTCACCACTGTTATGGCCAGCTCAAAATTACAATTATTTTTGGAATTTGTGAACTTGCACAATAATCTGCCTTAAAAAAACTCCATATGCTGGGACAGAGATACAGTTTAGATCAGTTTGCATGTGTACTTGTTCCTTGGGTATCACTAAAACCCAGATTATTATCTGTGCATCCAAGAGAGAACCACTGGGATGGGAAAAGCAAATAGGACTAAGTTATCAGAATGAGGAATTTCTTTTAATAAAGACCCCCCACGTGCCCAAGGAAATGCCATGTTATACTAAGCAAACCAGCTTCACTTTATTATCACAATCATAACCACATACATCACGAAGATTTCTCCCAAAGGTCTGGAATTAAACACACACATTGCTAGATGACCAGGTGGCCTGGCTGATACCCTGGCATTTCAGAAGAGGTGAAAAGGATGTACATTTATTTTTTTTCCTGTGCTTGAATTTCAAAACAAATAGCCATCCTTTAAAAAAAAAAAAAAACACACAACTTTCAAAACTGAAAATAAACTCAACTCACAAATCCTAGAGCTGTTCAAAAGAAAGCTAAGTAACCATGGGAACAAATATCACAGATAATGACATAAAAACTCTGGATGAATCTCAGACCAACTTCTAACATTGTGGTCAAGATAGAGTTTAACCCTAACTGGGGCAAGGGGTGAGTTCGGTGAAGTGGGAGCTTGATCGCCACACCCAGGGAATCCTACAGAGCTGCTCGTGGGGTCGTGTGTCCCTGACAAGCCTGCGTACAAACGTGTCCACACGAGCTCCCTCGTATGTGCCCACAGCTATGACAACCTGCCTGCTCCAATTCTGATATAACTGTATGCTTCCCTCCTGGGAGATGTTCCTACATCTGCTGAGGAGGGTCAACTAGATGGCTTACAATCACACACGCCTCTTTTGCATGCATCCAGCTTTTGGGGCAGCTATTACATGCATTATTTCCAGGCATTTCTAACTCTCCTCCTAGACTGTTTTGGAATTATGAGCCTGTATCCTGAAAGAAATTATGCCTAGAATGATGGCTTTCAAATTTCCCACATACAAAGATACAAAAATATAAAGATATAAAAATATAAAGAGACAAAGTCAGGCATAAATGTTTAATTCTAAACAATAAAGAGTGGGAGAAACAGCTGTAATCCATCTGTAACTGAACTGAATACAATATATTTGTAACAGCTTCCTGAAAAATGTCAATGAAACAGCAATGATTCAGCTGGGTTCTTGAGGAAATAGAAGGGGTATGTTCCTGCCTCAGTTACTACACTACTCACTGAACTGTAAAGTCAGGCATAAATGTTTAATTCTAAACAATAAAGAGTGGGAGAAACAGCTGTAATCCATCTGTAACTGAACTGAATACAATATATTTGTAACAGCTTCCTGAAAAATGTCAATGAAACAGCAATGATTCAGCTGGGTTCTTGAGGAAATAGAAGGGGTATGTTCCTGCCTCAGTTACTACACTACTCACTGAACTGTACTCTCGAGATATACAAGACTTGGTTTTCATCCTTTTTCACCCTGAAAGCACTTAAACACAATTTGTCATTTTTTTTCCCCCAAGTGTCACTATCCTTACATTTTTATTAGAAGCCCACATTGTTCTAGCTGACATACTTATATA